TATACAATACATGAATCATAAATATTTTTTCTGCTATTTATTGTTGTCCATATGTTGTACTGTACATATCATAGATACTTATTGTGCATAATAGTTTTATAGTTTTACAGTACTTGCCCAGTGTTGTGTTATTATGTTTACCCCAAGTATATTCTTATATTCTAGTTAAAGGTCCTATATTACACAAATTAGCCATGTTAGAATGTTGTTACCTCCTCAAAAACAGAGTTGTGTTTTGTTTGGTTCACACACATTATCAGTCTGTCAACATCTCCCAAGCTCAAAATGCTCTGTTTCAATGGCAGGTTTCAAGTTAAGAGCTACCTATTGTCTTTTCTTATGTATAGATTCACAATTCCAGGGCTGAAATGATCCAAATGATTCTAGTGAAGGTGTATGGAGTTTGAAAACACAGTGGAGCACTTCCTGTATTACCACCTGACATCAAAAGGTGGGACAGTTTTTTTTCTGTTTGAGAAAATAACTCAGCCTAAATATGCAGGGTGTGTGTGTTAAACAGTGTGAATGAAACAAAACACAACTCCAGGTATGTTTTTGAAGAGGAAACATTAACATTGATCAGAAAATAGCTATGTTCAGTATTATTCTCCTGCTGTACTTTATGGTACAACATTGACATTCCTCAGTAGTAGATTCAAGTAGTTTAATTCATACCAAACTTTATATTGCTGTGCCACCTCATGCACCTATACCTTCCCATTACTGTTTTTCTGCATCCGGTCCATTGTCCACCTATTTTCCCCCATTTGTGTGTGACGCCTTTTTGACTTGAGATATATTTGTACAATTCTTCCACTGACATTGGTGAAGACAGTGTACTCTAAAATGTCTATTCCGATGCACTCAACTTATAACTCAAGACTACCTTATTGTGTTATAATGCTGGCTGTACATTTTCTTTTTGTATGGGTCAAAACAAACTCCTTCGCCTCCATTAGTCCTCCTAATTCTTCAAAAGAGCCATTCAGATTCGGCTCGAGCATTTTATTATTAGAATAGTTGCAGCACTATAATGTTCCTCTTATTATGGCAGAGAAGAACAAAGATTGTAGGGGTCGATATGTGCGTCCCCCGTAATGTAATAAATCCTTCACCACACACACAAACACACACACACACACAACAGTACAAAACTCTGCTGCAGTATCTCCCAGCTCTGGCGGACACTTTTGAAACTCACCCAATTACACAACAAGGGGGGTGGGGCATTATGGGAAAAATTAATGCAAGCCAGAGACACAGACAGAGTCAATTGAGCTTTTAATAGAGCCTCTCCCTTTTTTTCTGTATGGATAAATAATACCACAGTCAGCAAATTTGGGATCTAACGGATGATATTGACCTTTCTGGGGTGTGAGAGAGAGAGAGAGAGAGAGAGAGAGAGAGAAAGACGAGAGGAAAAGAGGAGACAGTTGCATTGCGGAGGAATGCACAGTGTCAATTGCATCCGAGACAAAGCATCTTAATCAGAGTGCGACAAAGAGATAATCAATCATAATGATGAGTACGTGGGGTTTGAAGCCAGAGAGAGGCCGTGACCTCAACTGCACTGCGGATATAAGCTGTCCAGACCAGAACCGGTCCTTAGAGACATCCTCCTATCTACACTATCCTATCTCTACAGTGGCAGAAGAAGGAAGTACTCAGTTTTGTTTCTCAATGATGCAAAGCGTAACTTGTCTGGTGGAGGGTCCACCATCTGCTTGTTTCCATGGAGATGTTATTGCATTATCTAGAATGTTCCACAGTATAGATTAAACCTATTCATCACAAGGGTAGCACGCAGGTCACAGCATTATGCTGTATTACAATTCAGATCTATTTACAGAAGGAATTACTGTATTTGTGAGTAATAGAACACCCATAATGAATAAATGCAAGATGAATAGGTTTAATAGGTTTAAGGTCATATCATGAAACATTCCAGGCAAAGTAATATCATATCGATTCACCAGAAAAGTAGCGCCGTGCACCTCTAAGTAAATACAGATACTCGAGCAAAAAATCTCGAGCAAAAGTAAAAGCATCACATGAAATAGTATTAATGTATCAGTTTAAAATGTACTTAAAGCGTAAAAAGTAAAAGTATTTTGCACAGATTTTGAAGTCTCTAAGGTGTCAAATGTAGTGATTTTCTGGAATGTTGTGTATTAAATCTGTCCATCATTTCTATCTATCGGGTGACAGTAGAACAGTTGCTAGAGCATTGGTCCACTGATCTGAAGGTTGGCGAATCCTTGACATAAACATCACTGGTGTGATTCCAGCTCCCATGGATGAATGTTGTCGTTGTGTCCTTGGGCTTAACCCACCTTGCTTTGAGTGGCTTGAAGGTGGAAAAGTGCTGTACAAAAATGTGACCATTTATCAGACCAAGTTACAAGTCAGATCTGTGGAGAGGCAACCCTGCTCACAGTCAGAATGTCTGTTTTTCTAGATACTTTTGAGCTAGAAAACCTTCTACAATTGAATAAATATAAGGTAGAGCAATATAATGTCATACTGTGGAACTTTCCAGGCAGAGCAATGACATATCCATAGAAACAAGCAGGTGATGGACCCCCAATCAAAAGGTTACATAATGCACCTTTAAGTTATAATACAGATGCCTAAAATGTATACTTAAGTACAGTGCATTTACAGATTTTACTTCGTTATGTGCCACCCCTGCCATCTACAGTATTTCTCTACTGTCATTACTATGTCTACTACATCATTCCTATATATTTCTGCCCATTCTCCACCATCTGTCATCCTCCGTCACCCCCACGTTTGAGCTCGATCCAACTGGAGAGGGTTTTATTGGCATGATAAGATGAATTTAACTGTCTTTTGTCTTTCTGGAACATTCGTCTTCCTCTTTGTTAATTTGCCCAGACTTAATGTGACTGTGCTGTAAACCACGGCTGCAGTATCTGGGATGTGGAGGAGTCCAGTTGATCCAGAGAGAAAGTTCACATCCGCATCAATATTACAGTTTGGTGCATGTATTTGTAATGACCTCTTGAAGCGAGAGACAGAAGGATGTCTCTCTGCATGCCTGGCCTGGTGAAGGGGTAAAGGAGGAGGCCGAATATGTCAAAATGACCACTGCCTTTCAAACAGTTAAACCCTTGAAGTAGACTTTTATGAGAACAGTGACACCATGTGGCAATAAGCTGTAACAACCTGCAAGAAATCCTGACATTCCTGTAGCAGCTCACTTTATCCATAGAAAGCCACAGAAATAGGTGACTGATCAAGAATGCATCACTGATTTTTAGCTTCAGTTTAGCCTATTGTTAGTTTGACTGTGAGAGGTTGCACGACAGGAAATTGATTTCATAGTTAAATGTGCACTTTGCTTGTCTGCTGGAGGGTCCGTCACCTGCTTGTCTCCACGAAGATGTGCCTAGAATGCTCCACAGTATGGTCATAAACTTATGAATCTCTATGGAGACTTGCAAACCCAGTTACAGTTTAGTTTTGTGGAGAGGCAAGCCCACTCACAGTAAGAATGGATGTTTTTCAGGTATTTTTGACGAATAAATAACACCTTTAGTTGAATAAATTCAAGACAGATCAGTTTAATATCATACAGTGGACAATTTAAGCCCAATCATTAATATATTCATGGAGACAAACAGATTGTGGACATTCTCTAGAAAAGTTCAGCAGTGCACCTTTACCTTCTGTGGGTTCATATTATGACTCCTTAGTATTGTTCCTTGTGTACCCCCAAAACAAGCATCTCCCTGTTTTATCAGCCTAGTAGCAAAAAAAAAAAAAAAAAAAAAAAAAAAAAAAAAAAAAGCTACGACTGAATACATGAGCAAATTAGGACAATGACTATGGTCAATTTTTGAGTGGGCCTATTACCTGAACTTGAACTTTAGCTGGAAACAGGCCTCCCAGGTCTTCTAGTAAATTTCCAAGAAAAGAAGTCAGCAGTTTATGAGAGCCGAGCAGGAAATGACGAAGAGGACTTATGGGGTCGTCTCAACCGAGGGAGGTCGTCCCGTCTCTACAAAAGGAGTCCGTGGTGATGAGGAGCGTCTAGTCAAGCTGCAAGTGGGCAGATGGAGGCACCGGAAGCTCTGTTTTGCGCATAGACTGTATGGTTTTGTGACAGTCATATTAACTCTGAGTGCTGAGGCCTATATGAAAACACATACATATGGAACATCACATACATCTACCTAAACACTCAAGTAACAACAGTCAGTGCACATTTACTTTTTATTCTCAAATGTGTTTTGTATGAGCCTATCCGCTGTTAGTTTAATCCTGCCTTAAATAAACAATGTCGTATCTAAATCGTGTCACATAGGCTTGGCAGTAGAGATGGAACGAATGATTCATCAGAATAATTATGACTATGCTACTATTAAAATAATCATAATTATATTTAATAATCGTTAATGAGTTAGACTAGGGTGACCAGAGTTTCAAAATCAAAACCTGGGACACCCTCGGTTTGGGTGGTTGTTAATATTAAAATTGAGAAACAAGTGTGTAATTAAGGAAAATTGTTCTGCACTCGGTCCATTCATAACGAACATGTGAGTGAGTATAGTCACACTTTCTTTGTCTTTTGGTCATTTTTAAGCAGCTTTTCTGCATTTTACCTCAACAAGTGACAATGTATGCCTCTCGTTACTGTTGGCAGGTATCAAACTGGTTAAAAATAGGGACACCTGGGAGATTTCCTGTGTAAAACTGGGGAAAATGAATGGTTTTGGATAAATCAGCTAGGACATGGGCTCAAAACTGGAACTGTCCCGGGTAAATATGGACGTCTGGTCACTCTAATCTAGACACTAGATTGTAAAGCACATGGCGAGACATTTTATAAAAAATTTCACAATGAATACGGAAATAAATAAACAATGCAAAATGACTATTTTTAATTATTTCAGATGCTTTTGATTCGCGTCTATTTTATTTTGAAATCCAAAGCGGAAGTGTGTGGTGGTGGGCGCGCGCTTGTTGTGGAAGGTGGTCCTGACTCCTGTCCGAAAAACACCGACCAGAAAAGCACTGACGGGGGCAACTTTACATGTTTATGTCGCTTGATATCATTTACATTACCTTGAGCTAATCGGAAATCCTTAAACTAGCGAAAGACGCGTTATATAAAGACATCTCTGATCTGGAAGTAGTTTTTGTAGTAAAAAGTTGTGCAAGTCCGAGATGAAAATGGAGAGCCCAGCTGAGTGAGAGTGGGGTGAGGAGGCTGGGTTTGGCACAGTTTGGGAGTCCTGCCCTGCTGCTAACAGGCTAGTTAGCACACACAAACAAACTTCTTTCTCATGGATGAGTAAAAAGGTGAGCAGAAAATCACTCTTTCACGTGTAATAACTGAGTTGTTACATGATAATCACTTTGCTGTCATGAAACTAGGGAGGTTGGGATTATTTAGGGGTAGACAACACAGACAAGAACACGAGTGAAGCCATTTTCAGCCCACCGTTTGGTACATTTCTAATACTAAGTTTGTATTTTGTCTCAAAATGATAACAGTCAGTTTTTGAATCTGAAAAACGTTCTCACATTGCAAATGTATAATACCGTTATGTGTAAAATAAACCTTTGTTATGGTTCTTCTGTAAACATGTTTAGAAATGAGATTATGGAAGTGATATCTATACTCAAAGCTGTCCAATATGGCCTCAGCATGTTCCCTCAGAGTAACTTCACATTCTCCTCCATTATCAGTGAGTGAGTTATATGTGTATGGCGTGTGTATTGTTGAGCCTTCCGTATGTGTCAGTGATGTTTAACTCTTGTGTATTTCAGAGCTGCTCTCCGCCTCTCTCCAGACTGGTGTTCTCCAGAGGCCTCTTTCATCTGCGACTGCTGACTCTGCACCATTTCCCTGTGGATGGAGCTTTGTTGATCTGATATTTTTGGGAAGTCATAAAACTCAAGGATAATTTTGAATTTTAAAGGCATCCTGACTCACGCATATTTCAAATGTGTTGGATGCCTCGGGCACTCTGCCTGGTGTCTAACACCAATCAATGTCTTTTTGTGCATGTCTATGGACCTCCTAGTTCTAATATTTGCAAGCTGTCCTAAGTCACAACTATATAGTCACTTCTCTCAGTGCAACAAATGATACATTACTGTATGCTTACATAAAGTGTAACTGATGAGTTTATAACATTTCAGAGCTCATTTGTGACAGATGATTATCTCTATGTAACATATATGGACTGTCAGGACAGCTTTGGTGGTGCATGACTGTGTAGGATCAGCAATTGAGGTGATGAGGCAGGACTCCTGGAGCCCAGTGTGGCTGCACCGGCCGCGGTCCAACATCATGTGAGGTGATGGGGTGCAGGAACAGTAAGGTCCTCCCTGAGCCTCCAGGGGATGTTCAGTTGGACCTGGTCAAAAAGGTCAGTCATCATGACTGTGTATATTATAAAATACTCATCTTTGCATGTACTTTGGCGATTGGTGTCCAGACCAGTGTTAGATTTGATTTTTTTTATTGTTCAGGTTGACCCTCTACAGCCCCCACAGACGGATATCTATCAGCACTTTATACGAGGAGATGAGAAGACTGGAGGTACCGGTGGAGGGGATAAGATGGGGGCAGCCTCACCGCTCCAAGCCCAGGCTGCTATTCCCATGGCCTCAGCTCAGGCCCCTAAAGAGCCCACCGAACTGTCGGACCCCCAGCGCAAGAAGGTCGCCAAGTATCGAGCCAAGTTTGACCCGCGGGTCACGGCCAAGTATGACATCAAGGCTTTGATAGGACGAGGGAGTTTCAGCCGTGTTGTCCGAGTAGAACATAAAAGTACACGGCAGCCTTATGCCATAAAGATTATAGAGACCAGATACCGGGAGGGAAGGGAGGTCTGTGAGTCGGAGCTGTGCGTTCTGCGGCGCGTTCGTCATACAAACATAATCCAGTTGATGGAGGTGTTTGAGACGGCAGAGCGCGTGTACATGGTCATGGAACTGGCCACTGGAGGAGAGCTGTTTGACCGGATTATTGCCAGAGGATCTTTCACTGAGCGGGACGCTACCAGAGTCCTACAGATGGTCTTGGACGGCGTCAAATACCTGCACACTTTGGGAATTACTCACAGAGACCTGAAACCAGAGAACCTCCTCTACTACCACCCAGGGGCGGACTCCAAAATCATCATCACTGACTTTGGTTTGGCCAACAGCCGCAAGAAAGGAGACGAGTGTCTGATGAAGACAACGTGTGGTACACCAGAGTACATCGCCCCGGAGATCCTGGTGAGGAAGCCCTACACCAATGCTGTGGACATGTGGGCGCTTGGGGTCATCTCCTACATCCTGCTGAGTGGAACCATGCCCTTTGAGGATGACAACCGCATGAGGCTCTACAGACAGATTCTCAAGGGGAAATACAGCTTCACAGGAGAGGTAAGAGTGCAGCCATTAATTGGGATGGGATTTTTATGTATTTTTAAGTAATATCTAAAAGGTAAAATTGACAAATGTTGAACCTAAGGCTGGGCAATTAATCAAATTAATGAATCCCAAAACAGGTTACATAGGTCTCCAGGAAGAGTAGCTGATAGCTAATTAAATACAATCAGTCAATTAACCTACCCAGGGACTACAGGTGGAAATTAGCACTGGTGCTACAACCTGGTACAACCTTTCTTCTGTTAAGGTTAATATATATTGTGCACTGTCCCCATCTAATTATATAAACTAAACTAACTAAACTGTTTTCTAATAATCGAGATTTTGAATAATTGCTTGAGGAGGTTCACTCCTGACATTCTTTCTAGGGTTATTGTGCAGTTATATATTTATCAACTTACAAGTTTTAAAATAATAGTATATGATAAGAATGAAAATCTAAAGAGTTTCCACTATTTGAAAGACGAGCAATCCCTGCTTTGACTTTGATTAAAATCAATTAAAATAGTAATCATCCAGGGTGTGCACAAAAAAAAAAAAGTGACTTTAATTTCTGGTCATATGCCCCAGCCCTAGTTGAACCTGATCATTTCTAAGAGAGACAAGACCCAAGAACTTGCTGCATTTGAACAATATTAATTTTAGTTGCCCACCCTCCTCTCTGGCCCCCAAAATCCAGCATCTAAAATAAAACACAATTCAATCCTAGATCAAAATATAAATATATATTCGTTGCTGCTACTATTTATTCTTGTTTCCTAATTCTTATTTATTGTAATTATATAGAACAGGATAGTCGGAGGACAGATATCAAAGAAAAAATATATAGTAAAAATACCACTTCCATTCTGTCCACGACACAAAGTTGATCTACTTTTAGCCTAAAATCCTCCTTAAGTGTGCCATTGTGAGCTCACTCTCACACTGCCGGCAGACAGAACCCATATTTGGAATGCATTCCTCACACTGCATGAGGTTTTGTCAACACATTTCCAACAAGTTCAGATTTTCTTGTGAGCCGACATGTTTATTAAAGGTCCTATATTACGCAAAATGGGCTCTTGTGAGCTTTTAGCCATGTTAGAATGTTGTTACCTCCTCTGAAACATACCTGGAGTTGTCTAGAAACAGAAAGTTACCCTTACCGAAAAATGTAAAAATGGGCAAGGTACGAACCCAACGCACTCCGACTGAATACATTAAAAGTCCTTTATTGCATGAAGGGATGCCAACGCGTTTCGACCAGCAAGATGGTCTTCGTCAGGGCAAAGTGGTACCACTTTTGTGTGGTACCAACTTTCTGTTTCTAGACTACTGTTTTAACCCTCTTAGAGCACCCGCACTGCTATTTTTTTACTCTTTCAAGACCCAGTGAAGCGCTCTACCTTTTTTCTCCATCTGACGTATCATTACCTGGAGTTGTGTTTTGTTTTATTTACACATAATAATAATAATAATAATGATCTTTTATTAGTCTGTCTACATCTCCAAATCTCCAAATACTCTGTTCCACCTTGTGATGTCATGAAGCTGTAGTTTTCAAATTAACAGCTTCCTTTTATGTTTAGTTCAGTCGAGATTGGCAATCCTAAGATTGGAATCATCCATATCTTTCTAGTGAAAGTGTATGTCATTTAAAAACACAGTGAAACACTTCTTGTCTAACCACATGACATCACAAGGTGGAACAGAGTGTTTTCTGTTTGAGAGAAGAACTCAGTCTAAATATGCAGGGTTTGTGTGTTCAACATGTGTGAATGAAACAAAACACAATGCCAGGTATGTTTGTAATGAGGAAACAACGTTATAACAGATATCAGAAAATAGTGTAATATGGGCCCTTTAAAGCCGACGTTCTCCTGGGCCTCCTCTTCTCAAACTCACATCTATTCCTGTCTTCTCCTCCCTTTTTCTACCAGTGTGTATTGAACTCTCCAGTCAATGTGCATCATCACCAAGTGTTTGTCTATGTAGTAATTTATGTTCTATCTGTGTATCCGGATGGAGGAATGCTGAGTAGTTTGTTCCTTTGTTTCATGGCGTAGGATGTTTATGTTGCCATTGAGCTTTACAGAGGGGCCCTTGGTTGATGTTTGAGTATATGCTGACTAGTGCTGGACCTTCCACAACTGTCTGTACATGTCTGTAAGATAGGGGTGAGCAATGTTTACACGAATATATATTTTATTAGATATTTTATAAGATTATAATGATAATCCAAATTCAAATTTTGCATATAGTTAAATCACAATTTTATGTTATAGACCAAATTGGCATCTATTCATCTAGTTGTTTGCCCTTACTACATTTATTGTACATATTTATTTACATAATTATTTTCCATATGTAAATCTAACATGAAAAATTCTTTATTGTTCTCAGTACAGAATGATTTGAAAACCTTGTGGTGTCTCTGGACTGATGAGAGAGCTGTGGTGAATGGCTGTTATAGAATATACCTCTCAAGGTCAAATTGAACACATCTAATGACACAGAATTAGCTTACTGCTCCAAAAATCAAAGCTAAAGTATTACTCATCAAAAAGAGCAAAGCTAACAAGATTTCTCAAGAGCGATGCTGTAACAAAGAGGGCCCATTTCAAATGTGCTTGAAGTTATTCATGACCTCTGTTTAATAGGGCTACAGACATCATTGAGTTTCAGTCACAATGATTGTATTATTATTATTATTATTATTATTATTATTACATTGATTAACCTGTATGGATTCTGAAGCCTCTCTCAATATTCTCGTCTATGCATGACATACTATCCTTTTTACAAAGTAAAAAATACAAGGCAGAACCTCTGCTGCATTTTTAGATGTATTCATTGATTGTTTATTCATGGTCATGAACTACTGCTTTTATATAATATTTTGTCTAGCTAAATTCTATAGTACCTCTGCTTGTAAACATTCAAAAGTGAGACACACATGAATGTCCTTGTTGTTCAGAGGGTGCAGTGCCCTGGTGGACACTTTACCACTACATTAAATAAAGCCTCTGTCTCCAGCTGCACTTACTAATCCCACTCCTCACTTGTGCTTAGAGCCAATAAAGAGCCAGTAGGAGTTTAGGGCCAAAGGAGTGTACATAGAAGGGCAGTATATGTGTCGTGGAGCTTTAACTTACACTGTGATTTACCTGCTGTGTGGAGGGGCAGTAATTGTCCATTGGGAGACTGAAAACACAGTCTGTTGCCGAGCAGGGCATCAAGCAGAAGACTGAGGGTGATAGAAAGGCATGCAGTGCTGATATTCCCATTTCCTGTCCAAGCAGGGGGTGAGTGAGTGAGCAGTGAGTTTTTCTGAGGAGAGACATGTCTCCATTCAACAACTAGGCTAGGCTCAGTTAACTGAGAACTTACCAGATCTTTTATGTGCTGATAAAATATACACCATCCACAACTAATACATACAGCACTAGTTTTAACTAACCTGGCCTACAGCAAGTTTGTAGAAGTAATGTGAATATAGGTTTCTATTCAAATAGAAGATTTTTCCGACTTTTAAAGAGTTTCTTTTAATCTTTCCTTTGCTGCCCTCTTCTGATATGAAAAGCCATTGCAGTCCAATTTCCACCTGTTTTTGTTTATTACAGAATGAAAGCAAATTATTATTATTTTTTTTACAATAACCCTTTGACAGCTTAGTCTAAATATATTTACACATATATTTACACATTTAATAACCAAATATTAAGTTATTTATTGAAATGTGTATATTACACATCTTACATCTTTGTCATTCGATGGACATTGATTTATCACATTATTGTTTACCATGTGAAGATATATATATTTAATATTAAAATGTATTTTGAAAACAATGATCTCCATCAAAATACTAGGGGTTTAATAAATATGCAGATTCAATATAGCAATAATATTCCACATGCATTAAATACATGTGATGCACTTTTTCACTGTTGTGTTTCTCTCTTTAGCCCTGGCCCAGTGTATCAAACCTGGCCAAAGACTTTGTGGAGCGGATCTTGACAGTGGACCCCTCCCAGCGCCTCACAGCGGGACAGGCCCTGAAGCACCCGTGGATCGTGAGCATGGCAGCCTCCTCTTCCATGAAGAACCTGCAGCGCTGTATCTCCCAGAACCTGCTGAAGAGAGCCTCCTCTCGCTGCCACAGCACCAAGTCCTCCCACTCCACACGCTCTAGCCGCTCCACAAAGTCCAACAAAGCCCGCCGCATGAGGGAGAAGGAGCTCCGCGAGCTCAACCGACGCTACCAACAGCAGTACAACGGCTAGTACTGCAAATACTCCTGTACATGTGACCACTGAATCAACTTTGTACAGTACAAACTGTGACTGTAAATGTATAAAGACTCATCTCATCCTCTGGTCCCTGTTCCTTTAAAGGGACTGTCACTCTTAGTCCTCTCTTTCCTGTTTGTACATATTTATTTATTATTGCTTATAGTCTTCATTCAAACGGTCACTGGATAATGACCTTCACAAGGATCTGTTGAACAGAGTTCTGTTAGTGACATTTCCACAGTTAAGGGAATACGCCCTTGCTTCTCTACCATTCCTAAGGAAAGTGCTGTGAATTGTTTATGATCTTTAAATGTAGTCAGATTGCAACCTGCCCTGAAAATGAAAATATATGTCCTAACTAACTGTAACTAATATAGCATTCAGCATATCTGGTATCTGGAGCTGTATTTCTTTTTAATGATAGACTACACGTTTGCTTATGAAGTGGTCCATGGCATAGTTGTCAGTATTTTGTAATATGGCTGTGTGTACTGTAAGAGTAGCATAACCTTTTATTACATTGAAAGTTATTTTAGTTTTGTGATTCTTCACATTGGTGGATTGAGGATAGTCATACTAGGCTGCAGGGTTAATAGAATGTGTCCAGGGGTAATACCAGAAGCAGAAGTGCCATGAACTTCATAATATAATATCTAATAATAATCAGTGCTTAATAGTGAACTGTCTAAGGGAACCAAAGAAAGAAAGTAAAGCAAAAATGCAGTAAAAGTAGCACTTAAAAAGTTAATTAAGCTTTAAATGAAAGAGGAAAAAAGTGTGTTCATTATTGACATATTGTCTCTTACAATTACATACACAAAGGACAAGCAAACAGTCAGTCTTATAGGCAGCAGCTATAGGCCTGACACAGGAACCCAGTTAGACAATGGCCAGTTTGTCTGGCCACCTAAAGCCCCTAAAAGAAATAAAGAAACAATACATGTTGTCCGCATGATTACGGATTTGTATTCAAACATTATTGCAATTTCTGTTCTACTTCTACTTGTCCTATCTACTGTAGATCTAGGGCTGCACCACATGACTGAAAACACATAATACAGATGTTTTTCATCTGAGAAAGCACTTCATTATATTGAACGTTTTGATACCATTTGTGTATTTTTCTTTGTTATTCTGTGTATGTCCTTTTGGATGTCTTCCAGTTTATTACTTGTTCTTTCTCAGACTAAATGTGTTACTGAAACCAACCGAGCCATGACAGCTGACCTCTCAACACATTGTACTTGTATCAGTAGAACTGTACTGCTTCTAGACGGGTGGTGTTTCACTTTTCTCCGAATTGAATTTACCAAAAACATGTCAGTCTTTGTAATGTAATCGCTATAATTTCCTAATTAAATCTATTTAAAATATGTTTTACTAAAATGCAATGAAAAGCAAATGTTTTTTCCCACACTGTAACTGTAAGGCCATGCTTAACTGTTCTAAAAAACTGATTTAATCATATACCCTGCCAAGTAAATTTTACAAGCAACATCAAATCAGCTGTGGAGCACAATTTTTTTTTTTTTTTGGTTTATGTAAACTATTTTGTTTTTGTATGTTATTTTTATATGAATGAAGTCATTTGAAATGAAGTAGCAAAATTGTTACCTGTGTTTTTCTGTCTGTCTAAATAAATCATAACAGTCAACTGCTTCACTTTTTTTTTTTTTTTTTACCTCTGATTGGATATTGGATTTGGAGTTAAAAGAACACTTCTTGCTTCATGATGACTGTTCTTGGGTTAAGATGAAATCAATCAATTCAGCATTATTAAGGATTGTTTTCATATTTCTGTTTAATTTATTTCATGAATCAAGTCGACTATATAACTAGAAACGTTCTTTTGAATTTGGTATATCCCTAATCCTCATGTTTTATAATTGGTGATCTTTTTTGGAATATTTATAGTGCCATCTAGTGGCGGGGAACTGGAACAGACTATCAACAGACGGTTGCCAGATTTGAGAAAACTAAGCATATACTGTAGTCTGGTGCAGTTCATGAAACCAAGACATATTTTACATAAATAGTGTTTTCTTCGTGAAATTCACAATTCTCCTTGTAAATATATCAGATTCTTATTATAAAAGTTTATGGTAGCACTAACTGATTTGAAAATCTTTTACTTTTGTTTGTTTTTATATTTACTTAAATCAGTTAAATTCACTGTTTCATCACTGCATTAGGAATAGCACTAACGCACGCATAATATTGGTGTAAGAGTAAATGCTGAACGAGGATAATTTATTCTTATCTGGCAACCCAGCCCTCAGCCGTCACAGGTCTGCAGCTGTATCGCTTTGAGCTAGTGCTTACTGCTAACCATTGTTCGACACAAAGTAGGCACTCAGCTGGCGTTAGCTGATCACAAACTGGATAACACATGTCAGGACAGCGTTTGCATTTGTAGGGATTCTGTCGGGTTTTGTCCAGTAAGTATTTTAACAAACATTATATTTTAGCAGGCTCGTTAGCTAGCGCTGTCCATGTGAAATACAGGGTCTGTTGTTAAAACTCGCTCAGCTGTCGTCTTCCTTATAAAAATGCCTTTTAGTCACTTGTTATCTATTAGGCATATAATATAATAAGAAATAATCGTAGTTATTTATGTATTACATGCCTGGTGTATATAGCTAGCATTTAACGTTGTTAGCCCACGATTCTAGCATATGTGCTGTGTTTGCAGTGATTGAGCTGATGATAAAAACAGTTTTTTTTTCCCTTAACCACGAGAGACAGGGATTAACTGTGTTATATTGATTACGTTTATTTCAAAGTTTAGCAGAATGGTTGTTTTTAAATACGTCTTTAAAATACTTCTGAAATACTCGTTCGTTGTGTACCGAGACTGTATGTTTTGTTTACATTGAGTTTCTTTGTCAGGTCTTGTAAGTAGTTATATTTATGGTCTTTTGGTTAGTATTTTTGAATTAAAACTATTCCCTTCCTATATATTAAAAAACGATTTCCATAAAATCAAGAATATAAATAACTCCAGCAAAACCCAAAGAAAACCTATTATTAAATGTCTTTTAGGCTCGTGTTGTTTGTTAGTTCTATGGAATTTTACTCAACGCTAAACACATGTCCTACATCATTCTGTGCATTGAAAGATGATTCTAAAAATGCAAAACGAAAAAAAAGTCTTTGACTGACCAAGCCATCTAACACCATATTGATGTGATTACTGAATAGAAATGGTGATGGGTCTGTGATGGTTTGGGTAACTTCTAATCTAGCTCTTGTGTTGTATTGGCGGTTTGGTGCAATGTTTACACAAGTGGCTGTACCCAATGTTTAAGTACCCTGCCTTCAACCAGGCAGAGTATTTTTACAGCTCTAAGCCAGTAGTGACTCTCCCAGGTTTATTCTCTGTCTTGTATCCTGCCCCAAGACGGAACTGCATCCCCCACCCAAAGCCCCACCTACCAGACCTGACCACACATGCCAGGGGGTTTCCTAGACATAGACCACCTTTACTTATCTCCCACATTTATAGTCCTCTGTGTTCAGCAGTATTGGGTCACAAGGGTTATCTATTTATGAAGTTGTAGCTTGGTATTGCCTTCTTACACATTATGATTTGACACCTGGAGGTGTTTTTCACACTCTAAAAATGTATACTAGGGCTTGGCAAATGTTTAAATTGATTAATCTAACTTTAAGTTCACATAGTTTTGTTTGAAAGAAAAAATATTTTTATTTTTCCCACTTGCTTTGGAAATTGCATTGAAAATGTAAGAAAAGCTTCTCACTGCAGTCACAGGGACCAGTGTTTAGCACAGGGCCATGCAGCTCTGACTGCTTTTAAATCAGTGACTTCAAATTAAGTGTTGAGGCTGAATGTTTAATGCAATAGTTTGTGTTATCTCATTCAGAAAGATTTCCTCAATGGTTACTGCGTTAAATATGATCTCTGATCACATTGTGTGTGTAAAAGTAAATGCAATACCAAAAACACCCATACATTTAAATGTTTTACGTCTTTCTAAATTATGCTATATAAATACATGAAAATAAAAACATGTTTTCTGTATAAAATTGGCTACCGAGGACTTCTGGTTAGTTGTCTTTTTATTGGTTAATTTTTGCTTTTATTAAACACTTCTTGCTCTGAGTGGGTGTTCACACACATTATTTGTATTATCTTGGCTGTACACTTGGTTGTTAATACTGGTCCTTTACCAAAAAAAAAAAACACACTCTTGTGCCCACTGAACAGATGGCTTTGAGTGGGCTATGAGGGGGATCTTGATGTGGTGAAATTTCCCTAAACTTTTGCCATTTTGTAAATAAACCTCCATCTTTGTTTAACTTGAGTCATCAAACAGTGGGAACAGCCTGTCATTTTCCCCCCTGGTATAAAGCAGCAGCTAAACCTGGTGCTTCCTGACTGTTGCATAAGCTGGGCTGGACCTTCCCTGTAGGCTTCAGCCTGCTTCTGAGTCTGTGGCTGCTTTGTGGACAACTGTATTTTATTACAGTTTCTGTGAGCCCAAGACCAAGAGAGTGATCCTGAAACAGGCCAGAGCCTCCCTTTTCATGTAACTAAAGAGGTTTGAGATCATGTCATATGTCTCAGATTTGTGTCAGTCATCAAGAATACAATTTGATTGGCCAAGAAAATTAACTGCTGCAACTGTCACTTCGCTCCTGTTCAAGCAGGAAAAGATGCATGGATAGCTTTACGTTTTTTGCATGACACTTTGATATTCTTTGGTTTTAGTATCATAGTACCTTATTTGAAAGACATTTGAGGACATCCCATTCTAAATATATAACATTTTAATTTGATTTATTAATTGCTATGGTATTGGTCCATATTTTCATTTCCTTCGCCTTGGATAGTAAAAAGGCTCCTAGTTACTTTGTCCTAATCACTCTTCCTTTTGTCCAGACATAAATCCAAGTTCTGTGTTGGAGAAGAAGAAAGGATCCTCTCATCAGTGCCCACAAACTCTCTTGTCTTGTCGTCTTCCCATCGTATTTTTGAACCCACCAACATGGCCGCCATCTCAACACTCTGGCAGTTCCACTGACCAACACCGTGGACCACCACCATGGAGAGAAAACGCAGAAAGAAATCAATCTAGCTGCGTCCGCCTTTTGCAGAATGGACTTGTTTTCAGAACTGTGGACCTGAAACGACATTAGTAATTAATCCAACATTGAGTGCTCATTTGTCATCTGAAGTGAACAGAGACATGAGGAAAATGCTGCCACTTCCTGCGTGTATGTGGGTGCTCTTTGGACTCATGGCTGTAATAGGGACAGAGCCAGGGACTGGAGCCAAACCAGAGTCTGGCCCGTCCCCGGTCTCCACACAGGGCTCCAACTGCACCCAGCTAACTGTCAAACTCGAGTTCTCCACTAAAGTTGTGGAGCACGGTACGACAATTTCCCTTACACTGTATTTTGTGTGTGTGTGTGTTTTGATATTCAAATTTGTAACTAAATCAAACCTTTTTATGCTTGGCGTGTGTGCATTGCAGAGTACATAGTGGCATTCAATGGGTATTTCTCAGCCAAAGCTCGGAGTTTGTACATCAGTAGTGCTCTGCGAAATGCCGGAGGAGGACTGGAGTGGCACATTGTTCCCAGAGAAAACCCAGCGTCAGATTTCCCCAGTGACTTTGAGCTGGTCCATATACGCCAGGCATCTCCCAGCAGCCTGCTCACCCTCGAGGACCACCCCTACATCAAGAGGGTGACTCCGCAGCGCAAAGTGTTCCGTACTCTCAAATACATCCCCTGTGAGTAAAACTGTACACACTGCCGGCACCAGTACATGTATCACTATCACACAAAAGAAGAATGTCAAAGAACTGTCCTATATTATGCAAAATTGACTCGTGAGCTAGTATGTTTAGTCATGTTAGAATGTTGTTACCTCTTCAAAAACATACCTGGAGTTATGTTTTGTTTCATTTACACGTTTGCGTATCCCTTTATTATTAGTCTATTCTAGGGCTAAAATGATTAAATTATTCCAGTGAAGGCTGATTGAGCACTTTCTGTGTTGCACGTGTTTTCAAAATTTGCATGGTTTGTTTGTTAAACATGAGAGGAAACAACATTATAACACAGATCAAAAATAGAAAAATATGGGCTCTTTAAATGACGGAAGTCTTTTGTCTTCAGTAGTACACAGAACATAATTTATGTGACAATTTCATAGACACTTAAGTTAAATAGGCTTGGATTATGTGTTAGGTGTGTGTAGGTCTTAAGTTATAAGCATCATCTTAAAATGTTATAATAGTTAACTGGACCAACTGGTCGCTGAATGAGACAACACACAATGAAATCAAAATCAGCAGCTTCCTCGGATGTGCACAATAGAACACGGTGAAGCCAAAACACACTGCATATGAAAGACACAACAACTGTGGCATTAAAAAAAGCAATATGTCATGTGCTGGCAGAGTTTTTCATGCAAAATGTATTGTGTAAGGATAATTCAGTGTATAACCTGGAGCTTGCATTGAGTGAAAGACTGGGGCAGCTGAGTGACATTATGAAGAGTCTAGATAAGCTCCTTTGTAGTGTTACTAAACACTCTAAACAGAGAAATGGAAAAGAATAGGGAAAGCTGAATTGTAGCATTGGCCTGCACTACTTTACTAAAATGCAAAAGCTTTTATCTGTGCCCATGTAAAGTATGTGATCTTTGCTCTGTAGTTTGATGAACAGTGTTTAGTGCATTGGAATTTTTGTAAGACATTTGTGAACACTATAAATTTTCAAAGATGCCAGTGTAAAACTTTAATTGTTCTCTGCAATTCTGCCTCCCCATGTCCAAACAGCCCCCACAGTGGAGTGTTTTAAGTCTTGTCTTAAGACCCACTTTTATTCTATGGCTTTTAACACTGCATGATTTGTGTGGTCCTGTGTGTTTTTAAAATTTTATATTTTAATTATTTTACCTATCTATTGCTATTTCATGGGTTTGCTTTTTGACTTTACTGGTTTAGTGTTTTAGGACTGGCAAGGTTAAATTGAGCATTTATACCCCCTGTTATTTTTAATACCTGTTGTTGTTTTTAATGTTATCTTTATATGTGCAGCACTTTGGAAACTGTTTTGTTGATAAAATGTGCTATAGCAATAAAGTGTATTTGTATTTGGATTTAGTTAGTTACACTTAGACTTGGACTTAGACTTTATTGATCCACAAGGGAAGTTATATAGACACAGTAGTCATATCTCAGTTTGAGTTTTCAGTTTCATTTCATGTTTCATCATCATTTCATGCTACAATAATTTGAAGTGTAGCACAGTTCAAACAGGTCACATAATGATTCTTTGCCTTTTGTCCTTACATCTTCTCAGCTCCTGAACCGGCCGCTCCCTGTAACAGCACAGAGACAGAGCGGTGGCAGTCGTGGCAGTCCTCTCGCCCGTTCAGAAGGACAAGTCTGTCTCTGGGCTCGGGCTTCTGGCACGCCACCGGGCGCCACTCTAGCCGCCGTCTACTGCGCGCCATCCCCCGCCATGTGGCCCAGATCCTGCAGGCTGATGTGCTGTGGCAGATGGGGCACACGGGTCAGTTTCACAAGATTTAGTTAAACATATTGACACTTTGCAGCTGATAACATCAACGTTCCCCGGGGGTGTGAAGTTAACCGAAAGCACTGCTCTGTTAGAAGGTCCGTTACTCAAGTTAGACTTAAAGTTGCAGTGTGTAACTTTTATGGCGGAGAGTCTGCCACCCGATTCTCTCCATGGAGATGTTACCTGGAATGTTCAACAGTATGTTATTATACTTACTCATCTCTGCGGAGACACCACATAGCTAAGTTACATGCCAGATCTGTGGAGAGGCGAGCACTCAGTAAAAATGAAAGTTTTTAGGGAAATAAAAAGCCATGATATTGAGTAAATGCAAAATGAAAATGTTTAATATACCGGGACATCCCAGACAAAACAATAACATCTCCATGGAGACAAACAGGTGGCAAAAGCAGGCGATCCCTCCACCAGAAAAGTTACACAGTGCACCTTTAATCTGAGCTTTATTTTAACACAATCTGATCAAAAATAGCTGACTTACCTGAACTACAACAAGTGAGATGATTTACACTCTCTCACACATAAAAGTACAGACACAAGCTAACATTCGCCGTCTGATTTTGAACAAAAAAGGTGAAAGTGACTGAAAAACAAACACAAGTATCAATACACTATCTTCTAAAAGTGCCATGATTCTGAAGTTCTTGTTTTGTGTTTGCAGGGGCTGGTGTGAAAGTGGCTGTCTTTGATACAGGCCTAAGTGAAAAACACCCTCATTTCAAAAACGTTAAGGAAAGGACTAACTGGACAAATGAGAAAACACTGGATGATGGTGAGCTCGATGGACATCCACACTAAAATATCTTTTAGCATTCTGTCCATCTTAACTTTCTATGATGTTGTCTCTGATAGGCCTCGGTCATGGGACATTTGTAGCTGGTGTAATCGCAAGTATGAGGGAATGCCAAGGTTTTGCCCCAGACGCAGAACTGCATATCTTCAAAGTATTCACAAATAATCAGGTACAAAAAGATGCTTAAGATAAAAGGGTTATTTTCTGTTGATTGTTCAATGCTGCTGTATCTAAATAGTCTTAATGTCCCCTTCAAAGGTTTCTTACACCTCTTGGTTCCTGGATGCTTTCAACTATGCCATCCTAAAGAAGATTGATGTTCTAAATCTCAGTATTGGGGGCCCAGACTTCATGGACCACCCTTTTGTTGATAAGGTGACCAAATGGACCCATTACTACCCATTACTTTATCAACCAACATACCAGTTGCTCTTTAAAATGCATGCAACTCATACAAAGACATGTTCAGAGATCTTCAACAAGCAGCTGTGTTCTATAATGTATTACGTTTGCATCTTATTAAAAGTAATGTTAGGATTTTGCACCTGAATGTAAATGAAGGGAAAACATTAAGACGGAGACTAAGACGAAACAAAAATAGAAAAATAGCTTTATAAATTTTCACTTTAGTTAGGTAGGCTTGGATTATAGGTGTGTGTAATAATAATTGTCATCTTAATATTTAATAACAATTTTAACTGGTCCAACCAGTCCCCGAATGAGAAAACAAACTGGAATTAAAATTAGCAACTCCCTCGGATATAGACAGAACACAACAGCTGTGGCATTATGGAATTATTTATAGAATTCTTTAGCCCTTTGATAGATGTTGGAAAAATCAATATGTCATATGCTGGGAGAGATTTGACACAAAATTTATTGTGTAAGGATCATTCAGAGTGAATTCACCTGAATGCAAATTGTGGGAAACCATAAAACTGAAAAAAAAAATTAATAATAATTATAATAAGAAATGTATATAGTTAAAAGTCAAATGTTTCAACCTCATGAAAGTTGCATTGACAGGTGTGGGAGCTGACTGCCAACAGAGTGATAATGGTATCGGCTATTGGGAATGATGGACCTTTATATGGGTAAGATAGTCAAAGAAAGTGTTATCAAAAATGCTGCCTTGCTTTCAAAGTAACAAAGGCATTTATCAGAATTGCATGTTTATGAGATTTGGGGGTGCGTGCCTTTAAGTTGCTTCTATCTCGTAGGACCCTAAACAACCCTGCGGATCAGATGGATGTCATCGGGGTTGGAGGGATTGACTTTGAGGACAATATTGCCCGGTTCTCCTCCAGGGGCATGACAACTTGGGTGAGCTACTGACACACCCACACCCACCCAGTCCACTTCATCAGTTTGTGATATCAAAACTGTTCAACCAAAACTTTATAACTAATTTATGACTCCTGCTCCATAAACATCCTCAGTCAGACATCAGCCTCACGATCTGAGCCCTCCATTTGAGTCCATCTCTCTCCTCACCTCATCTGTTCCAATTCAGCCATGAACAGTTTTCAGACAGCTCTGACTGACGCACTCAACTAAATATATCAGAATAATTCATGAACGCAACCTCTCACACAATTTCCTCAAATACACCAGATTTTAGCTGAATCATGTTGTTAAGCAATGACCATTGTCTTAACTCTTGAAAAATCATACTTTATAATGACTCGCCTCTGTGTACTTCTCCTAAAAGGAACCCATTTTATGCACCAGTTTTAATCTCTGAAGTATAGATGAATGGTTCTCAAGGTGAATTCATTGTCTCTAATTATTTTCTGTCTTGGTAAACTAAATCTTTCACTTCATAGTGGCAGAGTTGAAAGTATTCCTAACTATAGTTGTATGTATTAGAAATTCTGAGAACTGGGTGCATTGCTACTATTCTTACTCACCTAGTGGCTTATAAAGCTATGAAGAAAATGTCAGGCTACATCTGTGTAGAAATGACTCCATGTAGCTTACTGCTGAACAGAGCCACTCAAGCAGTACAAAAGCAAATGCCTACCTTGATCCAATCATTGTGAGCCACTGCTTACTTTTTTATCAGTATCAGTTTTGAAAGAATAAACAGAAAATCATTTGGCTTGTCTGACAAATCTAAGGTGACTGTGACTGAGGGTTTCAATAAGACCAGTGCTGTGTGGTCCGCAAATGTAGTGAGGACTTCATCAGTCATCATCCTCTCAGTTCTAACTATGATGGTGAGACTTTCTGCTTTAATACCTGCTGTTTTCCCCCTTATGTAGGAGCTGCCAGGGGGCTACGGCCGGGTGAAGCCGGACATTGTGACCTATGGCTCTGGGGTACGTGGCTCTGGAATGAAGGAGGGCTGCCGCTCTCTGTCTGGCACCAGCGTGGCCTCTCCAGTGGTGGCAGGGGCGGTCACTCTCCTGGCCAGGTGTGTGCTCATGGCTCTGTTTCCTGCCGTAGTTTTTTCTGTTTTGAAATTCTACCACCTGAAGTCACTAGAGTCACTGGAAAGTCCCTTATCATTTCCAAAAGAGATAAATGGCAGAAGCTTTTACAGAGCAGCATCAGAGGACACATGAGGGATTTTTCGAACTCACTCTTGTGTAACTAAATCTGTTGCTGCAATCCTACATCAGCACCACTGAGATGTGACCCTCTGGGAGGTGTTGTGTCAGTGTAGAATTCTCTGTCAATATCCCCCTTTATATGGTGAAAGCTCTCTTGTTATGTACATGTAATTGAACCCATGTGCAAGTTTGCAAATGGCTCATATTTCGAAAGGAAACTACACACTGCCATTGTAAACTAGAATAATGTCTCTGCTTTCCCCTATAAGCTCATTCCCACCTAGATCTCTATCTGTGCCTATGTAGGTCTGGTCTTTATGTAGATGCATAAAACAGAATTATTTTAAATATTGTGCTCATTAATCAGGCACTAAATTATGAACACCTAAATGCTCTCCGAGTGTGTTTTTAGTTGTTTCCTCAGATCTTTGTAACTTTGCATTCACTCACGGTATTCCTATTCCTCCAGTGTTATGACCCAGTACATTTGAAACCAGCCCCTCCCATTGTTCTCGTCTCTGTGTTTTGCAGCACGGTACGGAAACGGGAGCTGGTGAACCCCGCCTCCATGAAGCAGGCTCTGATTGCCTCGGCCCGCAGGCTCCCAGGGGTCAACATGTTTGAGCAGGGCCACGGAAAACTGGACCTGATTCGAGCTTACCAGATCCTCAACAGCTACAGACCTCAGGCCAGGTAAAGCAGCACTGTGCAATGGTGCTTCAGAGGTTTACAAGGTTTATGTTGACAAGGTCTCAATGTGTGTTACATTTTGTTTCTTTATAAACTCACTAATATAAACTATTTACAGTGGCTTAGTCATGTAAGTAGTGGTGGTATTAATAGAGAATAAATAATAATAATGTTTGCAATGGATGAAAATTGGCACATTTTGATTTAATGATGTCACTGTCTTTAGTATAAAAAGTTTTATATTGGTTTATAGTCTGTACTCTAGATAATGATGATGATTATAGGTAAAATCCTAGCTCAAGATCTGGAGATGAATCCTCTTTGCCCTGGGACCCATTTCCCTACAGGGATAATAAAGCCTAATTTTAGTCTTAATCAAAATACAAAATAACTCATGCTACCTATACAGATTGAAAGAGTTGGAGATCAAATTTATTCTAGTGAAAACTACTGCTAACTACTGTCTCCATTTTTTTCTGCCAGCTTGTCTCCCAGTTACATTGATCTGACAGAGTGTCCGTACATGTGGCCTTACTGCTCTCAGCCCATCTACTATGGAGGGATGCCCACTATTGTAAATGTGACTATTCTTAATGGTATGGGAGTCACAGGCAGGATTGTGGACAAGGTAAGCTCTGCAACACAACAATAGAAATGTAATTCCTAAAGCTCATATTACGCTATTTTGATCTATGATATAATATAGGACCATTCATTTTGTTTATAATTTCTGTTGTTTTGTTTCTTCTTTAGCCGATCTGGCAGCCTTATCTACCGCAGAATGGTGACCACATAGATGTAGCGCTCTCGTACTCTCCAGTGCTGTGGCCGTGGGTGGGCTACTTGGCGGTCTCCATTTCTGTGGCCAAGAAAGCGGCATCGTGGGAAGGAATAGCTCAAGGTCATGTGATGGTAACCGTGGCGTCGCCTGCAGAGAACGATGTGAGTCACGACACCGCAGATGACATGTTTTTATAGTTATCCTTTAAAAATAACATGTTTTTCTTTACCAATGGATTGCAGTCGGATGTGGAGGGAGAGCTGACCTCCACTGTCAAACTGCCTATCAAAGTGAAGATTGTGCCTACACCCCCGCGCAGCAAGAGGGTGCTGTGGGACCAGTACCACAACCTGCGCTACCCACCGGGTTACTTTCCCCGTGACAACTTGAGAATGAAGAACGACCCATTAGACTGGTGGGGTTCCTCGACTGTTCTTAGGCCTGTCACGATACTTACTACTTACCAACTTATCTTTCAATTTATGAACGCCTGAACAATGTATTTTTTGGCTCAGTATTTACCGTGTGCACATTTTCTTTGTGATAATGGGAAGGTTTTTGTTGTTGTTGTAATACCATGGGATTTGAGCTGTAGAGGATTGTAACTTTTATGGCTTCATTCAGTTATTTATTTGTTGCAGCTCAGGCCTGTATACTGCTTATCTAAAAATCGTTATCTAGGATTGAATAGTTTTATTGTGATGATATCAATGGCAAAAAGAAGTTTCATTATTGTTGCATATTATGATTTTCTCTTAAACAGTATCTCGTGCTTCAAAATTAGTTATCGTGACAGGCCTACATGTTCTTATATCAACTGCTTTTTATATCAACTTGTATATATACGTTGTAAATGTTATTATCTGCTTATTTGTTCACAGGAATGGGGATCATATACACACTAACTTTAGGGACATGTACCAGCACCTAAGAAGCATGGGATACTTTGTTGAAGTACTGGGAGCGCCCATAACATGCTTTGATGCTAGTCAATATGGTAAGAGTGTATCGCAAATCTTGATTATCTTTCTCTCTCTTTCCTATATGCATGTCTATAGCTATTTATCTGTCCGTCTATATCAGTTTATGTCTATTTTTATATTTGTTTTACCCTTTTTAACCAGGATTGAAAAGCTCTTTTACAAGGGAGTTCTGGCCAAGAGGCAGCAGCTTAACACATAGTTACAACACATACAAATCACTACAAAATGACATGACAAGTGCACATTATTGAGGCAGTCTCTGAGGCTTTCACCTTTAAAAAGCCTTTAAAAGCATTTAAGGATGAGAACTGAGTCACTCTCTAGTCTTCTGCAAAATGTTCCAAGCCATTGGAGCTGAGTGGACAATGGCTTTCCTACCCAGCTGTGTGAAGCAAAAGCTGATCATTACATCGCAAGGAGTACACTTCAACACATCTCTCTGTGATTAAAGTACAAATGTAGGGAGGCAGTAGTCCAAATATTGCCTTGTAAATTGAAGTATGCCAATTGTCTATCTGTCTATCTCTGTCTCTGTCTATCATGTTTTCCCTGATTGATTGGGTCCTGTTAAAAAATAAATAAAAATAAGATGACTAATGTTTCCACAGGCACATTGCTAATGGTGGACAGTGAGGAAGAGTATTTCCCTGAGGAGATAACAAAGCTGAAGAGGGACATTGATAATGGCCTGTCTCTCATTATCTTCAGTGATTGGTACAACACGTCTGTCATGAGGAGGGTCAAGTTTTACGACGAAAACACAAGGTAATCATCTGCCACAGGGCTGGCTGCACCTGCGCACAGAGAGAGATACTGCCTCATATGAATCATAATTATGCCAAAGTACATGTGTATTGTTTGTTCTTGGTGTAGGCAATTTGTTCAAGTATTTAGCATTCGTAGGTTTTCTGATTGCTTTAAAGTGTCCATATTGTGTGATTTTCTGATCTATATTATAATGTCGTTTGCTCATCAAAAACATACCCGGGGTTGTGTTTTGTTTCATTCACACATGTTTAACGCACAAACCACCTTCAACCTTGTGATGTCATGTAGTAAGACTGGAAGTGCTCCACTGTGTTTTTAAACTCCATAAACCTTCATTAGAATCATTTGGATAATTTCGGCCCTAGAATTGTGAATTTCTACTGAACAAAAAGGTAGAAAGCAGCTGTTAACTTAAAAAATACCACTTCATGACATCACAGTGTGGAGCAGAGCATTTTGAGCTTTGGAGATGTAGACAGACTAATAATCAAGGATCACTCAAACATGTGTGATTGAAACAAAACACAGTTCTAGGTATGTTTTTGATTAGGTAACAGAATTATACATGGCGTAAAGCTCTCACAGGAATCCATTTAGTTTTATATGGGGCCTTTTAAATCGCGATTACCTTGAGTGTTTTCCCCATAGGCCTTATCATCCCACTGTCATACTATGATAAACTGCTCCTCTCCTTTAAGAGCACCATATCTCAGCTTCACTTAAAAAAAACTAAACAATATGAAGTGGTGTTTTTGTGCTGAGCAAACCATTTCTTTTTCTCAGTACTCCTTCAACCAGCTGTCACAGAATTCCCAAGATTAAATTTGTCATAGATATATATAATTTATTATTTAAGTCTTCAAAAAACATCGTTTTACTGCACTCAAACAATGTCCATTCAGTTAAAATTGCATTACTCGGCACACTGTTCTGGACAAAAGATCCCTTACTTGAATTCTTAAAATATTAGATTCATGCTTGTTTACTTTTTAATTAGTTTGGGCAATACATTTTTTGTTACTTTTTTCCCCCATGTAATTTGCAGGCAGTGGTGGATGCCAGACACAGGGGGCGCCAACGTACCGGCTTTGAACGAGCTGATCTCCATGTGGGGAATGGCCTTTAGTGATGGTCTCTATGAGGGAGACTTCACTTTGGCGGACCACGACAGTAAGTATTAAACCCACTGCTTTTCTGTGTGTATTTCCATTTTTAATCATCTTCTCTTTGTTCTCAGTGTACTATGCCTCAGGCTGCAGTATCGCTCGTTTCCCAGAAGATGGGATTGTGATTGCTAAAAATTTAAAGGACCAAGGTATTACGAGTTTATGAAATTATGAAACCTGTTTGATGGACTTTAAAGCTAATGTTTTTGCAATTATAATTTGTGTATGTGTAGGACTGGAAGTGCTACAGCAGGAGACTTCAGTAGTAGAGGCAGTGCCCATTCTAGGACTGTACCAAACCCCCTCTGATGGGGGAGGCCGCATTGCACTCTATGGAGATTCAAACTGTATCGACGACAGTCATCGGCAGAAAGGTACTGTTTCTAAGTGCGGTCTGTTCATTGATAATTGATCATCTCCTGTTTATAAAACAAACAAATGTTTTCTTTTGTGTTTTTGTTTTTCAGACTGTTTTTGGTTGCTGGATGCCCTCCTGCAGTATACCTCCTACAGCATGACTCCTCCAAGTCTGAGCCACTCCCACAGCCGAGTGGCACCACCTACAGGTTTAGACCGGCCACTGCCACAAAGACTGGAAGGTACAGTTGCATTAGAGAAGATCACAAAAGCTTCATGTATGTTTTATAAAAAAAAAGTCTGATTTGACTAAAATAGTGCTTCTTGCTTTTAGGGAACCATCTTTACCGTTACTCCAAGGTTCTAGAGGCTCACCTAGGGGACCCAAAACCCCGCCCTCTTCCAGCCTGTCCTCACCTGTCGTGGGCCAAGCCTCAGCCACTCAATGAGACAGCACCTAGGTATGTGCATACATGGTTCACTCTTTTATTTAAACAAATCTGAAATTCCAGTCATTTAGAAAATTAAGGACTGTAGTTTGAGTTTGACATGAGTGACCATTTTTTTTCTTTTTTTTTTTTTTTTTTAACATTTTTTATTCAAATCCAAAAAATACCTAAATAAAATTAGTTTATTATATATTTAATGACATTAACAAACACAAAATTGAGAAAACACCTGCTTTTGTTTACCACTTTTGTTCGGAAGCCTGTATTTTGTTTTTGTTAATTTGATAGTAACCTATGGAAACACCAGAAGCTTCTGTCGGTGGATCTGGACAAAGTGGCTCTGCCCAACGTGCGGGCCTACAGACCCCAGGTCAGGCCCCTGTCTCCTGGGGAGAGCGGTGCATGGGACATCCCCGGAGGTAAAAAAGAACACAAGGTTTTTGAGGATGTGGGCTGAATTCACAACTAACAGTGCCCTCTCTTTTAGGAATAATGCCTGGACGTTATAATCAGGAGGTTAGCCAGACCATTCCAGTTTTTGCTTTCCTCGGAGCTATGGTGGTCTTGTCGTTTTTTGTGGTCCAGCTGACTAAGGCCAAGAGTAAACCTAAACGCAGGAAGCAGCGCATCAAGCGGCCCACATACTTGCAGCAGACCACCACAGGGAAGAACCCCACAGTTTGACTGGAGCTCTACACTGCTGCTGCTGCTGCTCTCTGCAGGAGGAGGAGTTGGTTCTGTTGTTTTTGGTGTTAAAGAAAACAACAAATTAAAGAAAAGCTTCTTGAACATTGGATTTGGACTTTAGTATATTTATGGTCTCCTCGAGGCCTCCTGTCGTGTTAGCATTTGTGAACTGATGAACAGTATTAGAAGTGTTACCTTCAATGTAAGACCACAGTCAGACTGAACTTTGAACACTTTTACTGGAGCACCACATCATTGATTCTGGTCCAAAATGTTGCCAGACCAAATGTTTGAACGAAATGTGCTTTTTATATTTATTTAATTTGTTTGTGTCCCCAAACACAGATACGATGCTTGTACTGTAATACACATTGAGCTGTTGGTTACACAATGACCAAAATCACATTTATCCTGCCAATATTTGCTTAGTGGCGTTCCCCTGCGGAGCGTCTCTTTGGTAAACCAGACCATGTTTCTGTACATTGTTCTTTGTTTTTATATTTTGTAAAATGAACTCTGACCAGGCGACTGATATGGTTAATGCTTCAGCCGCATTAACAGACTTATTCCGTATATTCTCCATTAAAAAAGCATAGTCATATGGTTGGTTGTTTATTATGTTTACTTAATTTATTATGTTTACTTAATCGTAGGCATTTTTTCAAAAGCTGGACAGTGTGGTTTAAATTACTACAGTTATTTTGTTATAGTTGAATGTATCAGTAGTATTGGTAGAGTCCAGTGATGCAGGCTGATGCGATGGGAGCTGATGTGCGTCTGTGCGCTCTGTGGCCTGGACTTTGGCTCTTTATCCGAGCCTAATGGGCCGATCAGCCTGTGAATCTGTCAGCGTCCTCAGGGATGACGGCCCCACTGGAGAACTAATCTCCCTCTGAACCTTGGGAAACTGGGAAATGACCCTGGAGCCAGCTAGCTGCGCTAACAAGATTTGGAAAAGCTGGTGGTGAGTGGAGGTCACATGCCCTCGTTCCCTCCTCTGTTCCCAGATGCCAGGACTTCCTGTCGGGCCGATCATGTCGCCTGCTCACGTCCTGAACCGCGAAGAGACGCCGCGGAGACTCAGGGGCGGCTCAGGGCTCAACTCTGAGCCTCCACCCTTCAGACTCCTCAGCTTCCTGCTGCAGATACCAGCCCGTACCTGTTCACATGTTCTCTGTGCACACTGCAGTCATAGTGGCGCATGTCTTTAGCTCTGTTTAATTAGACCCACCTTTAAAGTAACTGCATCACTGTCTGGAGGCACATCACCTGCATGATTCCATGGAAATAGAAAGTTACAACCATACTGCAGAACATTCTCCATGGAGATGTTTTCATGTCATACTAAGGAATATTACATCCAAAGTAACAACATTTCCACGCAGACAAGCAGGTGGAGGCCTCAAGGCCAAGAAAGAATCACTCACGATGGACCTAGACCAGAGGGTCAGTAGCTGCTCGGTTGCAGCTAATATCTGTTGTAGAATTTCAGTCAGCTGCATTTGAATGTGTAAAATTAAAATGTACATACACTTTTATAATCTTGTGCCAATGCCCAAAGAAAGAGCCTAGTCCTTTTATGTATGCTGTGGTTATTACAGCCCTTACATTTGATTCATTATTTAACTCAAAACCAGGCAGTTTTTCTATTTCAATGTTTCTTAAAATGTTTTACTTTAAAGGTGCACACATCTAAGGGTCGGCCGCCTGCTGGTCTCCACGGAGATGTTAATGATTTGCCTGCAGTGTTCCACAGTTATCTCTTTTATTTAGTTAGAGAAGTTCTTATAGCTTAAAAAATGAATCAGCATGAATTCTAATTGAACACAGTTACTTCTCCACAGATCTGGCCTGTAACTTGGCATCACCTGCCTGTCTCCATGGAGATACAGGCTAGGCCTATAATTTTAATGCTGTGGATTCCAGGCAAAGTAATAACAGTTGATAGGAGACAAGCATGTGCTGAAGCCTGCACCAGAAATTTGCGTAGTGCACCTTTAGTTGCCCATAGACTGTATGTATATATATTCTTTATCAGTGTTGGGAGTAACGCGTTATAAAAGTAACGAATTACAGTAATGCATTGCTTTTTGCTGTAACGCAGTAATGTAAGGCATTACAGGGGGAAAAATTTTAATATTTTACTCGGTACAAATGTGAGTAACGCGCGTTACAATGTTTTTTTAACCTGGATTGAAGTGGTGGGTTTTTCTTCAAACAAATTCGCTAAAATCACCGCGATATCAGCAGCGGTGAAACGCCGGAGACGCGGCCGTGTAGACCTTGGTAACCGCGGGCGAAAGGACCGACGCAGAAGTCTACGCTGCTTAGACCTGGTTTAGACCTGGGTCAGTTCTGGTTTAGACCTAGTTTACAGTCCTCCGAAGTGCTGTATGTTTGCAAGTTTTCTCCCCGACAAAATCCACAATGTCGATGTGACACACAATGTGAAACGTTCTGCACCGACAAAGGCTCTTGCGCTCGCACCCTAAAGGCAGAGGAAGATACTGACCATCGCACTAAAAGTTGGACTTCTGAACACGCTGAAGGAAGGTAGAAGTTACGCGCTGTAGCAGAGTCTTACACGGGTCGGGTACTCGCAAATAGTTGCTGAAATCAATGCCGTGAGCCCGCGAGCACGGTGACCGTAAAGCGCGATCGGGCGACAGCCGCTCTTACCTCCGTGAGGTGCGGAGCAAAGCCGCTCCTTTCTCCTGCGGTCACCTTTGAGCCCGTCCGGATATTGAGTCCTGTTTTAGTCCTAGTTCAATCCTGGTTTAGTCCTCCTCTTCAGTCCTGGAATCAGTCCGAGGTTAGTCCTGTTATAGTCCTGGTTCAGTCCTGGTTCTGCTCTGGTTTAGTCCTGGTTTAGACCTGGTTTAGACCTGGTTCAGTCCATATACGGCGCAAAAGTTCAGCATCTTCGCAGTTATTTTGGTGGGAGTAACTTAAAGTAATGCAATAGTAATGTAATGCCTTACATTTTAAGTGCAGTAATATTGTAATGTAATGAATTACTTTGAAATGACAGTAATAAGTAATAAATAACGCATTACAGTTTTAAAGTAACTTGCCCAACAGTGTTCTTTATACAGTCTATGTAGTGATCTATATAGCAAATTGCAGTTCTCTTGTTATTTTATATTGCAGGGGGCTCCAACCACGTGATACTTCTGGACCCCCTGATTTCTTTTGAGGAACCACAATCACCCAAACTGCAACATGTGTTTTCCAGTGTTAAGTGAAAGCAGCATCCTCGGCCTCGGCCACACCCTCCACGGACCTCAGACTCCCACCTTTCACTGGACTCTGAGAGAAAACAAACCCGAGGAGAGGAACGGCGCTTTCTGTGTCACTGCTCCAGACTAATGACTGGAGAAAACCCCATGAGCCGCACTGCTCCTTGCCTCTCTACTTTAGCTGCATGAGCGCACAGGTGATCCGCGTGTGGCTCTGTGCGTAGCCCGTGCGCCATGGAGGAGTTAGCCCGGGAGAGCATTAGCCTGCTGGCGTCCGCCTCCAACAAGCCCCCGCTGGACTCGGGGCCTCGGCTCGGCTCTACGGGAGCCGTGTTCATCATGCTCAAGTCTGCGCTGGGAGCGGGACTGCTCAACTTCCCCTGGGCTTTCGACAAGGCTGGAGGCATCCGCAGCGCCGTCACTGTGGAGCTGGTGGGCACTTTTCTTAATTATTTATCAAACGCAGAGGAAAATTTACATATTCATTTATTTACTACAAATAAAACTTAAAATAACTTAAACATTTGGAATATAAACTGCACAAATTTAATAATGAATCAATAAAAAAAGATCAAATAAATGAATAAAGCAATCTGTTTACTAGTAGCCTGTTCTTTTTGCAATGTTCAGGAGCAGTAGGCTGTTTTGCTGCATTATTTAGTTATTTTATACAAAGTTTAAAGGTGCCCTATGTCCCTTCTATGGTGGAGGGCAACCTGATTGTCTTCATGGAAACATTATTTCGTTGCCTTGAAAGTTACACAGTATGGCATTAAACTTTTCTAAATCCACGAAGACAAGCGGATGACAGCACTAGGAAGAGTTACAGGTTAGATCTGTGGAGAGGCAACCCCACTCACAGTAAGAGTACCTGTTTTTCAATGTATTTTTGAGCATAGACACACCCAGTCTTTGAATGTTTCACAGTCTAATGCCATACTGTGGAATATTCAAAGCAAAGCAAAACATCGACATGGAAACAAACAAATGGCGGACCCTCTAGCAGAAAACTGACACACTGCATATTATACTTATTAATTACGGGTGTTTCTATTTCTTAAAAATACAACAATTCCTTCTGTAAATGGGTGCGACTCTCCACAGATCTGAACTGTAATGTAGCATAGTGATGTAACCTGCTTGTGTCCTTCATGATAGACAGGATTAATCTATACTGTGGAACATTCTAGACAAAGCAAAAACATTTCCATGGAGACAAGCAGGTGGTGGACCCTCATCTAGAAATATTACACAGTGCAACTTTAAGCTTTATTCTTTTTTTTAAAGAATCTGTAGAGTAAAGATGAGGCCAGACTTTGCAGCCTTTTTGTGTTAAGAGTCCATTACCTGCATTTCTTCTAGGAGATGTTATCGCTTTGTTTAGAATGTTTCACAGTATGGCTTTAAACCTCTCTACCTTCATGGAGACCAAACGAGGCCAAGTTATAGGTCAGGTCTGTGGAGACTGAGGCGACCTCGCTCTCAGTCAGAACGCCTGTTTTTCTAGGTATTTTTGAGTGATAAAAATACCTGTAATTGAGTAAATGTAAGGTAGAGCTGTTTAATGTCACACTGCGGAACATAACATAACACAATGACATATCCGTAGAAACAAGCAGGTGATGGACCCCCAACCGAAAAGTTACTGCACCTTTTAAACACTTTTATCCACATTTCTGTTTAACGTCTTTCTTCTTGGGTCAAAGGTCGTGCACAGACCTGACCTCTGCTCTAATCACATTGACCCTGGACATGGCTAATGAGCTGTTCAGTCTAAGTTGTGTTTGAGGCCATCACATAGGCCTTTTAATCTGACCCTGCTCACAATCATTTAGCTAAACAGTTGTGATATACTCCTATGATACCGCCAAGTGAACAAGATCGCAAAACCACATATTAGTTATTGTTATTTTTGATCATTTTTAGTGTCTGATGTTACCAGATGCTTTAATTTCCTTATGATTTTGTCGAGAATATGTTTGCATATCAATTTGTCACTACAGAACGTTGTACTGTCTGAGACTTGGGGCCAAAACAAAACAAAAACAAAACTCTGTGAATAATCAGGCCCTATATTGTGTCAAAACTCTGATATTTAATACATTAATATACTCAACTGACAAATTACCAGTGGCTGAACATAACGAAGTAAAGGTAGTAAAGTACTGTACAGAAGAAAAAAATGTAGATATCTATCTGTACTTTACTTAAGTCGATCTTAAAGTGGATACAATTAACTTTTACTTCATTACATGTGAGAGCAGATATCTGTATTTTCTGTTCCACTACATTTTTTTACTTGAATGAAAAGTAAAGCTACTTTTCATTGAACCTTGTCCTTGAGGAGCACCTGTCCTGGACT